CACCACGTGCCAGCTGCGTGAGTGGGAAAATCACTTGGGTAACTTGGGCCTTAGGTTCATGCGCTACAATTGGCTAATTCTGTCATGTGGCTGCACATGCTGATACATATCCCAGTTTATCAGTTTATCCCCTCTGAGTCTAGCATCATGATGCAATTATTTCATAGTCCTCTGCCATTGTACAAGGTTGATCCCCCTGCTCGCTGCACTTTTTTGTTTACATTTGTGTTCTGCAGTACAGTACTGTACATTACTGTACCAGGATACAATCAGCCAAGAATATAGTGTTAAAGCAGTGTTACGATGAAAAAAGTGATTACTGTTACATTTACTGTACTGTTCAGGAAGTGTGAAAGTACCATATGTACAGGAAAAGGGAAACACTTGAGCACCTTAGCTTTTGTCTTTATTCAAGACACATTCTTCAGTGATGAGACCCACTAATCCCCCACCCCAACAATAGGTGACGTGACATCACATCAGAAGGTCAGTAGTGTAACACTAGACCACTAATCCCCCACCCCACCTCCATCGCAAGTGTTAAGGTGTAAAAAGTGAATACAGTTGCGTATTACGTTCCTCAGAGTGTGCCTACTGTAGGCTCAAGACAACAGCATCTGTGGTGAGTACAGTAGTAGTATACTGTACAGTACATTATTTTGTTTATTTACAAAACAGCTACTCCCCGACTTACGACAGGGTTAATCCAGGTCGTAAGTCGAAATGGTCGCAAGTCGAAAATGCAAAAAATAATACATATAAAATCTAAAATGAAATACAGTGCAGTAAAAGTGATCAATAATGAAGAAAGGATACAGTGTTACTGTGCACCTACCTCTAATGTAGTCAGCTAAATGCACACGGGGCCCCCATAATTTTCTATTTACAGGTATACATGGAGACTATATTAATTGGATGAAGCAGAGGAGGAGACAGGGCTGGGTGGGTCATCAATGTCGCTTTCTTCAGACAGGTTTATGTACTGTGGAAACTTGCTGGTTGAAGGTATTGGATCATCTTGAGGGAGTGAAGAGGCAGCACTGGTGGGGCATGAGGAGACAGCACTGGGGGACTTCTTAAAATAGATGTCCAATTTAGACTGCACAGTTTGCTTTTTCTTTTCATTATAAATTTCTCTGTAGCAAGCAAGTGCATCTTGGATCATTCTGTCAACTTTGGCATAACGCTCATAATTTTGATCCATGCCATCAAACATTTGCATTCCTTTATTAATTGTAGCAAATGCCTCTGCCATTTGTTTCACTGAAAACTTTTTGGGGGGTGCAGGTTCTTCTTCTACATTTTGTCTCTCTTCTTCCTCTGCATTTTCTGTGCATCTAGTTCAATAAGATCCTCGTTACTGAGCTCTTCTGCTACACTTTCAACCAACTGTTCAACATCTTCATTATCAATTTCTAACTCCAGCTGTTTACCTAACTCCACTATCTTGTTACTAATATCCAGAAATAACTTCATTTCATTAAATCCTTTGAAACTGTTCACATATCTTTTCAGGATTTTCTTCCATATTCCATTCATGCAATGTTTTGTAACCTGATCCCATGCTGCACTAATGTTCTTTATACATGACAAAATGTTGTACTCCTTCCAAAACTCTCTGAGCATTTTCTCACCTTCAGTAGCAGCAACAGCCTGAGCGAAGGTCGTACATAAACAATTAGCTTTAAAACCTGCAATAGCACCTTGATCCATGGGTTGGATGACGGAGGTAGTGTTAGGTGGAATGTAGACAACCTTAACATCAGGGTGCATGTCGTCCAGGTGTGGTGGGTGTCCCGGAGCATTATCCAAAATTAACAAAATCTTGAATGCAATCCCTTGTTGCAGACAATACTCCTTGGCTCAAGGAATGAAACAAGTCATGAACCAATCCTCAAACAGTACTAGGGTCATCCAGGCTTTCTCGTTACTTTGATAAAACACTGGCAGTGTGTGCTTGCTGACATGTTTAAAAGTCCTGGGGTTCTCTGAATGATAGATCAGGAAGGGCTTTAGCTTGAAACCAGCTACATTCCCCCCCAACAGAAGTGTAATTCGGTCCTTGAATGCCTTGAACCCTGGGATTGTTTTCTCCTCTTTGTGGATGTATGTCCGTTCAGGCATGCGCTTCCATAATAATCCAGTTTCATCCACATTGAATATTTGCTCAGGCAAATAATTTCCCTCCACGATGACATGATCTAGCTCCTCCTTAAAAGCTTCGGCAGCACCAACATCAGCACTAGCTGCCTCTCCACTCACCTTAACATTGTGTAAACTGTAGTGGTTCTTAAATCTGTCAAACCAGCCATAACTTGCTCTGAAGGTTTGGTCGCACTCATCTCCTGCCTGCTCCTTCAGGCTTTCGAAAAGGCTTCTTGCCTTAGCCTGTAGGGTTAGAAGGCTTAAGGGTACATGCTTTTGTATCTGGTCTTCCATCCATATCACAAGTAATTTTTCCATCTCATGAATAGGACCTTGTCTTTTCTTCGTTATTATAGTTCCCTTTATTGGTGCTGATCCTTTCACTACCTCACGAATACGTTCCTTGTCCTACAAAATAGTAGATATGGTCCAGTGCGAGAAGCCTAGGTCGCGTGAAATGGTTGCTACAGTTTTTCCATTTTCATACTGTATTATTATCTTCATTTTCGTTTCAAAAGTAATTGACTGTCTCCTTTTCTTCTGAGCAGTACCAGCACTCTCACTTCTACGCTTTCCAGTCATTCTAAAGTGAATTAGATACGAAAATAATGTCAGTACACAGCGTGATCAATTGTGGAAACAACGACAGCCAAACACCAACTAAGCGCTCTACGGCGTGGGTGCTGTAGCCACGAGGCGACCCAAGCCATGCGACGCTCTCATATGGGACGGAAACGTTTCGGTCTAGAAAATACGCATGTCATTTGAAAAAAATTTTGGTACCGACTGCGGCAGTCGTATGGGCGGGTGGTCGTACCGACTAAGGCAGGTCGTAAGTGCGGGTGGTCGTAGGTCGTAAGTCGAGGAGTAGTTGTATATTGTATGTGACAGAGGTGTTTGCGTAAATAAATACACCTCCATGCTGGATGTGTAGTTTAGACTCGGGGAAAACTTCTCCCCCGTGCTAAGTGGAAAATCCCACTATCTTGGCTGTGACACACAGTTCTATTCAGGCCTCGCACGTCTGTATCTTAAAGATTTTTTTTTCACTGCAATTATTTAACCAAACTTTTAGATAAACTATTTGGGATTATTTTGGTTAAAAAAATGTTGTTTGTAACTTAATTAGCACTAATTTTATAGACTTGGTATCAACATTTCTTATGAGATTCAAGTCCTCATCGTTAATATTGTGTCAAAATATATTGTTTATGGATCTTTTATTCAAACAGTCTTGTAGATAATGTATTCAGGGTCATTATGGTACCAAATTAACCTCTCTAACACATAATGAACAGGTGCTGTGAATTAAAGTTTGTACCAGTACACTTTTTCGCTAGCCATAAATATTTTCACTCGTGCCCTCGGTCAAAATGTAATGGGAGAGTGTTTGTGTGTTAAAGATGAGAGGATGAGGAGATGCATAATTTAGACTGTTGGAAAACTTTCCCTAGCACCAAGAAATATTCTGGGGATGTGGGATAGTGTCTGTCCATGCAAGATGCAAAGTTTAGACTCTCGGAAACATTTCCTAGTACAATACCTGGGAAAATTCAGGGGATGTGGGATTTTTTCAGGGTTTGAGAGAGTCATCTCGTTACCCTAAAAGCTCTCATCCCTGGAAGACTTCCACACCAATTATTCCAGCTAACGGGGATATTTCTGTTTATATAAATGTATATTATATTTAGATACCTGTACTGGGTTGTATTATAAATTTATTAAATTACTGTACAGTAGTATTATAAAAAAGGATATTAATATGAAAACTATTGGTGAGAAATTTCATGTGAGTACACATTCAAGATTATATTGAAGTGCATTCCTGCTCTTGTAGTAAACTTTCAATGAAGAGAGCTGTTGCTCAAGGACTACAGTCAAAAGTATGTGCCATAACAAGTACTTGCCATCACTAGCTATGTCTTTGGGTAAATGTTTTCCAATGTCCAGTCAACCAAGTACAGTACTATCCATTGTAGATATTAGACCATGTTACATATAAAATACATTTTAATTTGTTTTTGCAGATGTCCCTTGTAAAATAAGATTCCCAGTGTAATTTCTTCAAATAAAACCTCTTTATGTTGAGAGAGTGAGGATGAATAAACAATTGTTATGGTGAGATTTAAAAAAAAAATGAGTTCAAGTTTATGTTATCAAATAAAAATGGTAGAGTGAATAAGTAATTGAATTAGTTATTTATTGATGTATGGATAAATCAGTGAATATTGGCAAAAGGGTGAATAGTTGGGTGGATGACTGGGTCCAGGTGAGCAGATGTGAGTGTGATAATATAGTTTGAGCGATGGGTGAGTCAATTTGAGAGGTAAGAGGAAGAGGAGAAATGTGTTTGAGCTTTAAATTTTCTCATTTACTGGTACTGTACATAAACAAGTGTGTGTGTTTATGCGTGCATGTGTGTGTGTGTGTGTGTGTGTGCGTGTGCGCGTGCGTGCGCGTGCATGTGTGTGTGTGTGTGTGTGTGTGTGTGTGTGTGTGTGTGTGTGTGTGTGTGTGTGTGTGTGTGTGTGTGAAATCTCTTGTTTTCATGTTGTGAATCTTACATATAATACGAAATACATGTCGGCATAATACTGGTGCTGTATAATAATGTGCTAGTGTGTTTCCATATAGGTTCTGTCTGTCACTAATGTCTATGAAAGCTCTACATGTGTATAATATGCACACACACACACACACACACACAGGTATATGCGTATTGGAATATTCTCATAAGGAATTTTTTTTGCCTTTTTATAGTTGTATTTTAGGTTCAAAAATCTTTTAAGTATATTTATGTTAATACACATAAGACTTGGGTAATGAGAAGCGGTTTAACAAATTTCTCCTTACAGTTGGTCACCACGATGAGAGTGAGGAGGAAGCTGGATGGATTGAGGGTGTGGCCATCCTTATTTCTGTGGCAGTTGTTGTTTTTGTCACAGCCTTTAATGACTACACAAAAGAAAAACAATTTCGGGGCCTACAAAACCGCATTGAGGGCGAGCACAAATTTACTGTTATTCGTGGAGGAGAAGTTCAGCAGATTGGAGTGGGAGATATTGTCGTCGGTGATATTTGCCAAGTAAGAGTCTACTACTCACTGTTTTTAAAGAGAGAAAAAACTGTCCCTCTCTGTTTGTTTCTTCAACAACTATATACAGGATACTGTACTCATTATAGCAGGGGCTGTGGCTCCACCTCATCTGTATAGTGCTTATTTTTATTTTCTTTATTTTTTATTATTTACTTATATATATTTTTTTTGCACTGCTCTTCTTCATTTCATTCTCTTATGAAGGGATGTTCCTCACACATACACTTGCTCCAATATCTGATCCATCTTCATTTTAATTTAGTGTATTCCATGTATGACATGGGTGTCCTTCCCTAAATATACTTTTATTTATTTTATTCACAAACATTCTTTGTGCATGTCTACTCTATTATTACACAATTGTATCCTACTTTGTATAATATCTTAACATCTTACTATGTACAATCAAAGACAAAAGTCGTGTCGCGGTTTTGTCCGAAGAATAAATATAACTTGTGAAACATTATGAGAGACCCCTACCACAAGGTAAAGCGCACCAAATGTTTAGCTCTTTGGCGTATGTTTTCACCAGATTTCACGACATGACTTTTGTCTTTCATCGTACATATTAGACCTCATTACATCACTACTTATCAGTATTGTATAATTATATATGGTAATACATCTTACCATATCATTACTTTATTGGATATGCATAATACATCTTATGTCACTCCTTTGAGGTTATGATATTATTTTTACTAATTCTTCTTTTCTTCACTTAATCCATTACTACATATGACAAACATGAATAAGTGATTGTTTTTATGGTAGCTGTTTCAGATGTTTGTCACTGCAAATCACTTTTCTGTATCATATCCACAAGTTACTGATGTATACAGGTTTAATTGCTCCAGTGTGAATAATCAGTGTTACATACATGTATGTTAGAATGTTAAGAGGAAAGATGAAAAGGGTTGAAAATTATGTTAGTTTTAGATAGATATGCCTTAATACAATGTACTTGCTGGGAGGCAATTGTTGGGTTTAAAGAATGCAGTAGGACACTGTAGGAGAGAAAAGTGGTGTGTGGTAGTAGTAGTTGTTGAAGAGTTTGCAAGATTTTCATTGCTTTAACAAGGAACATTCATTTAATTGAACTCGGTAAGTAGTCAGAATTTAACATCTTGTTTCTAGTGATAATGGTGGATTGTCATGTACATTCGGTATTTCACATCTGTTCTAAATCCAGAATATTAAATTTAGGAAATAGGAAAATTTTGAGATTTTTTTTTTTTTTAGAATTTAAGGCTGCGTTTACACCAAACTAGTTAAGTCGAGTCAAGACGAGTCATAATGCTACATGACTCGCCATTCCAGTTCACATTAATATATATGTATTTTTGCAGAATCAGTTCACACCGGGAGAGTCGACTCAAGTTGAGTTGAGTTGATTCATGTATGTGGCCGGACCCATTTTTTCATCAGTCATCACGAGTCAGTTGTGGTGTGAACAGCATATCATGCAGCTGGAGGATTTAATAATTACAGTTCGTGAGCTCCTCGCTCTCTGTGCTAATTTAATTTGTCTGGATGGTTCACCAAGTCTGGGAATAAATGACTAAAGGCACCAAAATCTGGTCTTTTGGTGTTGACTTCATGTAACCACATTCGGTTTCTCCTCCTCCTACGCTGCCAAACCCACAATTGAACATATAATTCAACGAGAGAATATGTGTCCATACTGCTTGAAATCGTGCTGGGTACCGACAAACTTGACTCATTTTTACTCTTTTGGTGTGAATGGGAATGAGTCAAATGACTCTAATGACTCGCCTCAACTCAACTCATTTGGTGTAAATGCATCCTTAAGGTAGGAAGCTCAGTCAAGTCAGACGGATTTGATGGTAACACAGATGGCAGTATATGTCAGGCAAGTTCATTATAATGTTAGCATCATACCTGATACTTGCCTATGTCTCTCATGATCACCGGTGCCAAGGTAGGGGGTCATGTTATATTTGAGTTGATTTCAAAGAAACTAAGTGCTGGCTGTCATGCTACAGTACTTCATATTTCACACCATCTCATGATTTTTTATTCCATAAGCTTATTTACTCTTTGCTTTCATGTATTAAATGAAAAATGTAACTACTGCGATATCGTATTTTCCATTATTTTGTGCTGCATTAAATATTATGGATTTTTTTATGTTTACATTGTTAAACACTTTGTAATCCTACTGTACTGTTCTGTATACAGAGACTTTTTCCTGCTTCTGCTTGACATCACAGTAATCCCAGAATATTTTAAGAATTTTTCAGATACAGTATTACACCTCTCTTTTTTTTCTTTCCTCCAATTAAAGTTTTGTTTCTCATCTATGTTATGTTATTGGTAATGATATAATTATCTTCACAACTTGAATTGTATCATAAAACTGGGAAGGTATTTAAGGAAAAGAGCTAAATGTTAAACGGGGGCTGTCATTTAAGATTGTTTGAGGAAGCAGTTGCATAAAAGAAAAAGAAGTGCATGCATGAAACTATATTACTACAGTGTAAAAGAAACGATGTAAATGATAAATCAAGAAAAACATGATGTAGAGGTATGAGCTTGTTGAAAGTAGGAGGAAAGGTGTTTGAGCAGAGAGAGGGTAATGGTCTCAAGTTGGACAGTCATTGATTGGAAAAGAGGATTTTTAGAAAAGTACTTTGTATTGTATGTTTTGTGGACCAGATCTTTGCGATACTGTATAATTGTTATTACAATTAGATAATCCTAAATGTGATGCATGCCAGAATTTTTAATACAGAACAGACATAACAAATAGAGAAAGTGGAAAATACTAAGTAATATAAAATTTGATGTCGATATTTATAATCTAAAGTTGCCTGCCAAAATTCATACCAGGTTGCAAAGTAACACTATGCTTGTACAGTATAATTATAAACTGTGCAGTAGCCATATTCAGTAGTGGGGACAGAAATTACTGATAGGAGAAAAGAGAGTAGTACTGTACATATGCTGGATAGGGAGAAGTGTAACACATTACAGTGGTCCCTCGGTTAACGAACATAATTCGTTCCACAGAGCTGTTCGTTTACCGAAAATTTCGTTAACCGAATCCATTGTTTCGATGGGATATTAATTGGTTCCAGCTCACAGAAAAGTACATACAAAGTAAAAAAAAAAAAAATGCAGTTAAGTACACTTACTTTGAGGTGTGTATGTAGAAGGTTCCTGGTTGATGATGATGATGACGGGAATTAGACGTGGGGGGTGGAGGAGAAGGGAGAAGAGAAGGAAGTGTGTATGGATGAGAAATCACCTTTCAGGGGACCCATGCTTGATGCAGTAAGTTCACCAATAAAACTTTAAGTTCACTAGGTGTAATTCAAGATTATTTTGTTTAAATCAACACTGCACTGAGCTATATATTATCAATATGTTAACTAAATTTCAGAATGACCAATAATTTCAATGTTCAATGCAAAAATATTCAAGACCCCAACAAAATAGAGGTTCACTCCACTGTCAACAAAGCCCAACTGACGCCTGGTGGGTGAGTCAAGCGGCTGATGGGCGCACAAGAACTAGTTCCCTGTACTGCATATATTATCAATTTGTTAACTAAATTTTAAAATGACTAATAATTTTAATATAAAAAAAGGCAAAAATATGAAAGAGCACAACTTTCTTGATATTTACTCCACTGGAAATGAATGTAAACATAGAACAGGTTACTGAATTGGCGGACTAGCCCATCAGCTGATCACCTGATGCTCACAACAAAACGTGTTGTTCGTAAGGATTTTGTTAATCGAATTTTTGTTCGTTAACCGAATTGAAAATCCTTATGGGAGGTAATTCGCTAACCGAAATTTCGTTAATCGAACCGTTCGTTAACCGAGGGACCACTGTACTGTACTGCATGTAATTGTACAATGTGTGCTAGAATAGATGATTAGTGCATTATTGTTTGATTATTTTGTAAAGTACTTTTTTACTTTAGTTAGTTAGTAGGCAATTAGTTATGTATCAGGAATAGTTGTGAACCAACTTGTTAATAAGATTAAAATTCAGTGAAGCAAGGATATCATTTACATATTCATTGATAGGGTAGTGAGAGAAGTTCAGTTGATTACCTGGTACCTAGTATTGGTGGAAATGTAGAATTAGAATTAAACCCTGCTGTTGGGGAAAAAGTTCATAAATTTATCCTTGGTATGTACAGTATATTTAGGAGAACCAAATCTAAAATTACAGGTGATACTTAAAGAGTCTTGGGGGATCAGTAAGAAAAGATATTGATTGTGGATGTAAATAAAGTGAAGGTTGTGTTTTGTGTAAATAGGGAATCAAGTTTACAAAGTTTATTGGACTGACAAAGGAAGAAAATACCCAAAGTTTCTCTTTATTATTTTAGCACCTATATCATAAGAATATAAAAATGAGTTTAAGGTATGAGAGGGAGGGTACAGAAAGGTAAAACAGATATTGAAATTCAGAGATTTGTAATTCAGAAAAGGGAAAAATTTAGTGATTTGATGTGGTATGAATAGCTGGCAGGAAGGTTACAGTCTATTAGTACTGTACAGTCAGCCCTTAACATACGCGGGGGTTACGTAACAGAGATACCCGTGGATGTTACAAATCCGCGTATTTTTGCTGCCCCCTCCCCCCCCCCATGTCCTTATTTACCGTATATACCTGTGTGTAGTTCGAGTTTTTAAGACCAAATTATTTGGCAAAAAATTGGGGGTCGACCTCTAAACGGGTAATAGTTTCGTTAGGTTGAAAAATATTTACCAGTAACTACCAGTAAACAATGGAAATGATGCACCAACGCACCACCAGCTGTGAGTGTCGGTACAGTTGCCAGGGCAGATCTCTTGAGTCATCATAGCAAGCCCAAAGTAGCCAAATCCATGGTATGGTAGCACAGGACGATGTAAAACATAAAGTATTCATTTATTAAAGTTTATTTATAGATACTGGACATAAATTTTTGTTCATTACATTTGAAACATCAATCTTTGTTAATT